CTTTGTTATGCTTCTTGTTTGGAGGCTGGACAGGTCATGTGTTTTTCTTTGTGTTGGATGCAGAATTGTGTTTCAAATGTTACAGTTTGTAGCTTTTCTCTTTTTTGTGATATCTCTGCCTCCTCTTGATACTGTACTGGTATACTTTCTTTATATCTTAAGCCTAAGTCCTGTAAGCCTTTCTTCTTTTTCTCTTCTCTCTCTCCCATGACAGATTAAAGCAATTTTATATTGTTTAAAATCTGTACTTTACTGAAAAGGTAACTGGCCTGAAAATGATGATATTTTGATGTTGCTTGCACATGAGTTTAGCTCTGCATACTTTTTATCTCCTTTTTCCAGATTTTCTGCTTCTTGTTGACAGCATCTTGTACTTGTTTGATAGCTTGAATAGCCTTTTGGACAGCTTTGGACAGTTTGAAATTGTAACTCTCAGTTTGCCTTTTTGGTTTGGTTAGGCCTAGTTCAGTTTACCTTTTATCCTTGTACATGCTGTTTGTTTTGAAACTATGCAGTTGGTTGACAAATTTGAATTTGTGCAATTTGTAGCTTTTGTGCATTTCATATTTTAATACAAGCATATTCTATCCCTCTTTGTGAACCAAGAGCAATCTTGTGATTTGCAGAGAGGGCAAACTGATTCCGGCCAGTTGCTTTTAATGATGAACCCAATTTTATCTGTCTGCTCTTTAATTATTTTATCTGCATTTGACTTTTTCTTTTCTTTGTTTTTGCAGGTAAAGATAATTGAGCAAAGGAGCATTGGATGGAAGATGAAGACTTAGGAAATTTAGGATTCAATTTTATTTCAATTTTAATCATTGTAACCATTATTATTATAAATACTTTTTAAATAAATATTGTATTTAAATAACAATTGTAACAAATAATTAAAGATGAATAAAATCCAATTTTGATCAGTTAATTCTTTTTCCAGCTGTCTATTTAATTACTTATAAATTCTTAAATTATAATAAATGGAAATAAATCTCAATTATCCTAACTTAGAATAAATAAACAATTAATAAACACTGTGGTCGATCAATAATAAACCCGACGTTTCAAATACCCAAAGCAATGCACAGCTAAACAACAAATGTCCACATGTCCTTTTTCTTTTACTGATTAAATCAAGCACTGCAAATTCTCAATTTAAGCACCTCAGCTTTTATCTCATCTCAAATCAAATGCCTTAGCCTTTACTGATTAAACAAAATACTACAAGTTCTTGATTCAAATGCCTCAATCCAAATCTCAGAGTAAACTGAAAAGAACTGTAGGATTAATTCTTTCTGCGCGCACAAACCCTAGTCCTTGGTTAAATGTCAAAGAAACGTTCGCCTGATCAAAACCTGAGCCAACTCAACCAAACTTTAGCAATCTGCCTGAACTGCTTTAAAATCAATGAAAACCCTAATTTTGTCTGACTGATAAGAAAAGTCTGTTTGACTGATTCTTACGCCAATCTGAAAAATCAGGAAACGCTCGAGGCTGTGATTTCTTGTGGAAAAATACGAGGACAAATTTTGGGGTACAACAGACTCCCTACGTAGTTTATGCTTAAGATGGTGTTGACTGCTAATATAAATTACTTAAGAGCTACTTTGAAAACTTGAGCCTAAGGTCTCGGCATAATGGGTACCCAAATCAATATCAAATAATGAGGGGGTTTAGGGTGTCATAACGGTATCGATTTTATTGGAACTTTCCCAAGTCTCTCTAATAAAGCCTAGATTGTGACAACCTATATACTTTCAGAGTGTGTGCCATGCATTAGAAAATAAAATTTTTGTTGGGAGGTTTAATAATTTTAAAATTTCGGGGAAATTCGATAACAACTGAAAAACAGGCATACAGACTTGACATCACATGCAATGAATCTACCAAATATTGAAAATAGATAAAATCCTAAAAACATGCAATAAACTAGAAAACAATAAATCAAAATAAGAAGTGATAAATGGAAAGCGGTAAAGTTCCTCCCCCACACTTAAACCAAACATTGTCCTCAATGTTTCAGTAAAAAATGGAAAGAGGAACAAGAATCTGATTAATGCTCGCCTCGATAGTTTCCTACATGCAAATGATAGGTGCCAAACGATCAATATCTTTATTTTCTGCAAACTCAAACAAAAGAAAAAACATTAAATTGAAACACGTGGGTTGCCTCCCACACAGCACTTTGGTTAACGTCGATAGCTTGACGACTCAAGAGTTTCAGCACTCATAGTGACTCTATAAAATAACTCCTCGATCGAATTTTTAATCGTCATTTGTTTCCATGGCCACTTATCAATCCATCTCACATATCACTCACCTTTTCTTTTCTTTCTTCTATGGGGTGGTTCATTCTTTTGAACTTACGGTGGTGGTTCTGGATCAATCTTGAGTATCAGCTTTTCAAGTTTGGGCTTAGTTATTTCATCCACCATCTCGAATGTTAACCTTCCCTTCTTAATTCTAATGATTTCCCTAGTTTCGTGGTCCTCAGACTTTCTCTTTTTATGCAGGACCTCAGATAAAGGTGAGTTGGTGTGGATATTGTCCATATGCCTTTTGGATTGGGTATCTACATTAGCTTCCACAAATATTTCCAGAAAAGAAATAGGTGGGTTATAGGGAGGAGGAACAACAATAGATGTTGCCTTCTCTACCTCTTCGACAACCTCCCTTTTTTCAGATGGTGTCGTTGTAATTTTCTCAATCTCTACTCTTTTCTCATCAGAACTCTTCTCAACCACATTAGTACTCTCTTCAACCTCATTATCACTCTCCTTAGGATTTTCGATTTGTTTTTCACTACTGGTTTTTTCAACATCCACATGCTCCTCAGGGAAGGGTCATAGAGGATTTTGTGCAAGCATGGAGATTTGGGTCTCCAAGGCCATGTTGTGAGTCGCGAGGGACTCAACCGCATTGTTTAGCTGCCTAAGGGTTTCATTATTTTGAAGACTTTGATTTCTTATATCTTCATTTTTGGACAGTTTCTGTCTCTACAAAATGCTCTATCATATATTCTAGCCTAGAGTGAGTTAGCGTCGCATCGAAATCCTCCATTGATGTTGTGAGGTTGAAATTATGGGATTCATATGGTTCCACAAAATGAGTTAGCGTCGCATTTTGTGTTTCCACAAAGAGCTCCACCCTCATAGTTTCTAGCCTAGAGAGATTTAGTGTCGCAGTCATATCCTCCATTACTGTTTCGAGAGTGAAATTCTGGGATTCTTGTGACTCCTCAAAATATTGGGCGTGGTGATTGTAGAGAAAATTTGGTTGAGGATAAGTTAGCGTCGCATTGTAATCCTACAGTAACATTTCGAGATCGGATTTATGAGATTCTTACAACTCCTCAAAATGTTGGGATTGGTAGTTGTAGAGGTAATTTGGGTAAGAGTGAGTTAGTGAAGCATTGAAATCTTCCATCAATATTTCGAGGTCGAATTTATGGGATTCTTGTGATTCCTCGAAATACCAAGAATGAGAGTTGTAGAAAAAATTTAGGTGATACATAGTAATTAAGTTTAGAGTGTCTTAGTCTATACGATGCAACAACGGAAATAACAATATTGGCTGTTGGTCCCTGACAACGGTGCTAAAAACTTGATGCATCCGCAAGTGCACGGAAATATCGAAGTAATATAAAAGATTGTCGAACCCACATAGACCAATGTTAATCTACTGTAATCTATTGTCGCTTTGTAAAGCTAAGGCTAATGAATGATTGAATTTTGGGAAACTAAGAACTAAAACTGAAATAAAATAAAGATTAAGATAAATATAAGAAAAGAGAGACCAAAATGTGTATTCCGCGTATCTCAGGGACTCTGTAACTTGTTTGCTTGTATTGATGTTAAAAATGTATTTAGTAGAAAATACCAATTTAAAGACAATATCTCACACTCTCGTGGTTTTGAGTCACGTTCCTTAACCGTAGGATTTTACTCTCGCTCGTCCACTTGAATCAAGGAACGCATTTTGAAAACTGGACAAGTTCTAATTAATTCTAAAGCGCTCTTGCTGTGTTTAGGATTAATGCCTACTTTTTACTATTTGGTTCGATTCCCGCGCTCTCGCAGTGCCGACTCAAACCTTAATTAATTTTCCACTCTCGTGGCAAAACCGTTGTTAAATAACCTCTCACTCTCATGACAAGGCTATTTAAATTAAGTTTAAAAACAAAGACTAAAACATAATTTCTAAATAAAATATTAAGCCAACATTCGTTACCGAGTCCCGTCGGAGACGACAGTCCTCACATATCGGATTCTAAATAATTTAGCTAGACATGGAATTAATTGAAAATGAATTAAACATAACAAATTCAATTAAAAATAACATGATAATTAAATTAACAATCATAAATGATAATTATAATAAAGCAGTAAAGAAAACCTGTAAAAGAGAAACTTGAATTAAAACTGAAATTAATCTTCAATAATCCGGCAAGCTTATGATCTAAGCGTACAAATGAAAGGTCCAAAAATTAATAGTGTGCTAGTTCTCTGATGTGAGAAACTACCACTTTTACATACTGAGTTTTCTGCCTAGAAACTAAGAATAATAATCTGCGTACCAAAAACTTCCATCCCAAAACAATGAGTGTTAGGTGCTTTATATAGTGAGAAATGCTAGAAGTTATCACGTGATAAGTATTGGAGATAATGGAGAAAGAAGTGGAAAAATGAGAAGTTGAAAAGATCATGGGATGATAATGGGCTTCATGAGTGGTTATGTGAAGAAGACATGGAGAAGAACTTCTTATTTAACACTGAAATCAGCCTGTGATGAGTGGCATGCAATGTGTGTCGTGGGACACACATATTTTCATCTTGTGCCGAGCGGGACGTGTTGTGTATCAGAGGGCACACTAATTGAATCTATGACGAGCGACATGGGGCTGTGACGACTGTCACAGTCCTCTGTTGCAGTTTCTTTTGTTTTCTGCTACTAAGTCACACATTTTCTGTCATCTCTTCATGTTTCTTTCTCCTTTTCATATTTAGGTTCATTTCTAGAATATACTTGAAATACAATAAAATACCAGCATAATATGACATAAATAAATAAAAACGATAATAAAATGCATGCAAATCGAGCCAGAAAATTCGATATAATTTCACGTTATCAATCACATCCACGTAGGTTGCACTTTTGTCCACAAAGAGGGACAAGTCAACCAATAACATGAAGTAACACCCCAAAACACAATCTATGTGGTACTGAATAAAAACCTCGTCACCCTCATCCTCGGCCCCTACTACTGTAACTTGGTATTCTTTATATAAGTCGCTCAAGGTGGAGAATTTTGCATGCGACCCATTAGTTGTTTTGCACTCGTCAGTTACCTTAAATGGATCATCTCCCAAATATTTGACCATCCATACAATCGCCTCAGCTCGTGATACCTTGTAATGGTTAAGTAACCTCCATCTGATAGGTAGGTGGAGCGAGCAAGCCACGTCATCAAGTGTGATCGTCATCTCCTCAACAGGAAAGTGGAAAGAAGAAGTCTCCTTGTGCCACCTCTCAGAAAATTCCCCCTGCATGTCGTGGCTTATAGTAACATAACCAACGCCACATAGTCTAGAAAGTCCGAATCCAACAATGGCCTCATTGATAGCTAAGGTTCGCCTGCTCAGGTACCTCAACCCGCTCGGGTATATCAACCTTCTCAGGTACCTCAATCTGCTCGGGTACCTCCTTCATATCGGGTATATGCTCATGTGCACGAGAGGATGACGCCTGAGACGTGACTCCTCGGTGCAGAAGTGGACCTCCAGCCGTACCCAACCTCGTCCTTGAGGCCTGTTAACCTGTTGTTCAACTCTCTCACGCTGAACAGAGGCAGTCTGGCTTGGCATACCTTATCTCAATCGATTGTTCGGATCCTAGTTGTCATTCATTTTCCTGAAAAATGATAATTATTAATATGTTGGTTTAAAAAAATTAACTCATGCAAGAATTTGCATGTGCACATTCGAAACTGGTCAAGAGAGTTTCTGATGTGCACTTTTGAAACCACATGCGAACAACCATTTTCAAATAGCTTCTTCTTGCCCTAAATCATCTAAAAACCTTATTTTATCACCCAAACATCAACATTTAACTACTCTAACATCAACCTACACAATGTAATTGATTCTAACTAACCTAATAAACTATTATAGCATTGCAAAGTGAATCAAATGGAAATGGAGAAAACTTACACGAATTTGGAGCTTTGGAGATGAGTTGGAATGAATTGAAATCATTTTTTGAATAAAAATGAGTAGAAATTCCAAGTTTGAGCAGAAATTATGTGTGGGTGATTTTGGGTTTGTAAACAAATGGATTCTGATGTTCTGTTCGTGCTGGTGAAAACAATTAAATGATTTCGGATATGCACATCCGAAGTATTAAATTATGGGATTTATTCAGATATGCACATGTGAAGTCACATTTTCTTGACAATATAAAATGACTTCAGATATGCACATGTGAACCCACCTATTCTTGACAAATACGATGTGTTTGGATATGCACATCCGAAGCCTGAGGGCATTTTGAGTTTTTCGTCAAAGACCTGCAAGAAGACACTCAAGTGAAAAAAGAAAATCTCTAAAAGTATTGAGTCAATCGAGTTTGGGTTTCTTTGAGTTTAATTTAGTAAATTGAACCGGCCCGTTACTATCCAACTATAACCACCTAAAGAACCCAATCAACCCGATAACTCAAGTTTGATCCACCCATTTGCTTTGGGTTACCACGGGTCGGACACTTTGGGCCAATTTTTTTTCTTGTCCAACCCTAATTGTGAGATAGGATCAAATTATTGTTGGGATTTGTTTGTTCAAGAAAAGTAGTTTACTTATGGCTCAAATACTCAAATATACTTTTTTTTGTTCTGCAGCAATTAAAAAGAGCAACCCCTCTATGATTTCAATACATCCTTGTCTCTAAATTTGTGACATTTTGTCAAGTAAATAACAATAAAGTACTAGTACACTTTAGCTAATAAATAAAAATTGAAAACAATTAGAATAAACATTGTTAAAACACCATGTCTTAAAATTTTAAACAGAGTCCATATAAATTTGTGCAACATCCCACTAACAATTTACTATACCAAAAGATAAACAATATCAAGTTATTAACGTTTATCTATAAACATCACCATAAAAAAATTACAATATCAATATCAAAGTCATACGTGGATTTTTTGAAATCACTTAAATAATTTTCTCCTTTAATCAAGTTTTCAAGATGTTTAATTTCATTCTGCAATGTGCCACATGTATAAACCATGGCAAGTCTTTGACATCCCTTCAGCAAGAGCTAGACGTTTGTCTGCTCTTGACTAGTAAAGACATTCTTGTATGATTGTAAGAATGTCTCAAGCAACTATTTAAATGATTCAATTATCTCATCATACAATAGTGCTGCACCAAAACTGATTGAATCCTATGGTGGTTGAAACTACTAGAGCAAGTGGCCTAGTAGCATAATATCTGTAATTTGTTCTTCTATATCTATTTGTTATGCATGAAAGAAAAGATGGATTCTCAAACAATTGTTGAAAATACCTTAGAAGTCTAGAAGACATTCATCCTCGCCATACACCATACTTTGTCTTGCTTTTAGGTACTAAACTTTTTACATCCAATCATGTAACTTTGTGCCCTGCATGTGTGCTCATGTGTTGAAATGTTGATTTTTGTCTTAACTCGGAACCATCATCTAGATCAAACTCATGTGAGTTTCACCCTTCCAAAGAAAACATTCTACCTTTCATGTAGATAATAATGTCAGCCTGAACTAACTTCTTGGGAGAATAAAATTTAAAGGACTTCTACACTTAACACCAAAAACTGCTCAAATATGCAGGAAACCATTTTTCTTTGAGATCATCCATTTTGAGCAGGATCTTGATATTAAGAAGATTCCACTAATTTTCAATCAATGCCAAACTTACTCAGTTATCTCCTTTAAATCAGCTTTTACTTCTTTATCCTTGTCAGATCGAAAATACCCAACTCCGAGAGTTTTATAGTCCCATACCATTTGAGAAATTTCATCTTGGGGAATATTTAAGCCTTTTTGCTTAATATATCTGAGCAGGTCACAGAAAAATTTAGGATTATCAAGTTTTATATACTCATGCAACACCCTCTCGTGATCGGGTATCCAGTTTCTAGGGAACGGAGTATAATCACAAGATGGAATCAAGGACATATGCGAAAACTGAACCCCTTCAATTGCATCAACCAGTCCCATCCTCAAAAGATCTGAATACTCAGGAGCAGAATTGTTGGTACTCTCCCTCAGTGGCCGACTAAGGTTTCGCGAAGCTATTCCGTATACTTTGGCACGAGACTTCAGCCTATACCTAGCAGCATACAATTTAGCCAAAGAGCTGCGAACCACATAGGCACAAAAGCCAACGACTTTTTTCCGATTGTCGGCGTACTTATACCAATCAGCCATGGTCTCAAGAAACTTATTCATCTGTGAGTTTGTATGAGCTTGACCTGAATACAACATAGGGTTACACGGAAGCGGCTCAGGGTCCTTGTCACCCTTAACAAGCTCTAGCTGCCTAAACTGACGAATGCATTGTTGTAAGCTAGCGGTAACCGAAAGCAAAGTTCCGACACCCTTCTCACTCACTATGTTACCTCCAGAACCTGTATACCTCAAAGTTGGATGTATCACTCTTCTGCATATTATATGATCCAAGAATTGAATACCTCTTGCAATATGTTCAATCTCCAATTTCGAATTATCTAACCTTAACCCAAAAGTACTCTCACAAAACTCAACAATTCTCTTCCTAATTTCAACAGCATCCTCTCTAGGACCCCTAATCCCAATCAAAAAATGAGCACCATATCTTATATAATCCATCTTCCTAGTTTTCTCATTACCACTCGACGGAACAAACTCGGGCCAAGCCGGGTTATGACATCCATCATCAATCGAATGTTTCCATATCGAATCAAACTTACAAGGCCTAAAAAACTCAACAATCATTTCTTCTACAATATGATCCAATTCATTAAGACAAACATTAGCAAGCAATGGACTTAAAATCCCACAATGACCATAACAAGGTACCTTAGCAGCCTCCTCAGGAGCAAAACTGAAGAATGTTCTTAACCAATAAGGATCCGGTTTCGGCTCATTCTCTTTAAGAATCCTCTTCTTAGTAGCTTTCCTCTTCTTATCTTTCCTCAACACCTCACCTTCTACTACTATCCGGGTCACTCGCCCCATTAGCGCAGATTTTATCAAACTCAAAACTTTCTTATCTCTAGTACCCTTTTCAACACAACCCATCACAACATCAGTATCAACTCTATCAAAAATCTCACTCAAATCACCCTTCAAAAACCACAAATAACCTGCGAAATTACTCCGAATGGTTCGAATAACAGTATGCGCATTTCTCCCCGGTCGAAAAGCGTGTGATTTAGGAGAAAACTTTGGTTCAAAAACCGGTTCCAGAATAGTCAAAAGAACCTCCTGAACAACCCTGTCTTGAAAACAAGGCTCGTTCGATTCAAGAAAAGCTTGAAGCTTTCGTTTTGATAGTGGCTTTGAAAACGTTTTGTCGTATGGGGTTTTGAGCAATTGGTTGGTTTTGTCGTTCCATGAAAAACGACCGCGGATAACGGCGTTACGAAGGGAGAGGATTTCACGGAGGAGGTTGGTATGAATGGCGTTTCGAGGAGGGAAAGTTCCGGTGACGTGAGCGCACGAGCGTTGATAAGCGAAGACCCAGAGATCGAAATTGGAGAGGTAACCGGTGAGGTTTGGGAAGGAAGTGGTTTTTGGGGAAGAGAAGGTTTTGAGCCATAGAGAAGTGCAGATTTCGATTGGGTCTTGTTTGAGGAGAGATTGGGGGTCTTGGTGTTGGTCTTGTTGAGGGGTTTGGTTTGTGGTTTGAAGGGAACGGGTGAAGAGAGAGTGAAATGGGGAAGGTTTGTTGCGGAGGGGGTGAAGGTGTTTGATGAATTTCCTCAATGACATGTTTTGTGTTTTGCATTTTCTGGTTGTTTGGGTTTGGGGGAGTGAATAAACGCTCAAGAGTGTGTTCGCGGAGTGCGAATTGTTTTGTAGTTTGGGATGGAGGGGATCTATTCGGGTGTAATCAGATGAGATATTGATGTTTGCACGTCTAACACGTGGAACCATGTTCTCACAAATTTAATCAACAAATGATTAAAATTCATAGAAAACCAAATATGTTTAGCCAGAGACAATAGTTGATGATATGATAACAAATTTGAAGAGATGTAATGATTGAAGTTAACTCAAAGATGTACAAGATGATTGATCAAGTTAATCTCTAAATTAAATTAAAGAATTATGATTTTATAATTATCAGTGATATCCTCTAATGGTGGTGTCAGACTTGAAGGTATCTCAAAAAGATTTTTAAAGAGGACTTTCCTAAACATATACTCACTATTTGATGGTGATAGGTTTGAACTATGGAAAGTTAGATTTAAAATAGTTATTCAAAGTCTTATTTGAATTGTGAGAAACTATAGTCAAGAGTCTCTTTATCCGTGTTCGCCATGTAAATGGAGAAGCAGTAGATAAATCATATTTCCTTTGGACCATAGAGAAAAGAAAAACTTTAAAATTGATTTCAAAATAAAAATTCTCTTAGTCATGTCTTTAGATGATAATCAACTTTTTGACATTCATAATTGTAACTCTTCCAAGGAAATGTGGGACACTCTTGAAATAATATATAGAGTTTCTCCAAGTATCAAAAATGAGCTAATGATCACACGAGGCAAAGAAGATGAATATTGAGTTCATAAATGCTTCTCTAAATTTAGAAATGTTGGAAATAATGTTAGAATTTTTGTCACTAACAAATATCTAAGAATTAAGAATCAAAATCAGAAATCTAATCTAATCCATAAATCGTGAGATGGGAATATTAAGGACTTAAAAAAAATCCAAGAAAGGAGAAATCGTCGAGAAGTTGAATGAATTAATTTAACAACTAAAGGATGAAGGCATAAGCTCAAGACAAGAATAATCTTTAGTAACTTCATTGACAAACTCCCGCAAAAAATATCAACTCCAATAAAATCTCCTTCAAAAGAACAATCTCGATAGTTAAATAATCCTCAGAGGATTCAACATCAAATGAATGAACTTCATATATAAGAGGATATAAAGAAGAAGTTTCATCTAGAGGAATCTTCGAGAGATGAAAGGAGAAGAAAGACTCTATGAATAACAAAGATTCAACATCAAGGAGGAACCTCGAAGAATCAATCTAAGGTAGAACCTTCAAAGAATCTCCGTTCAACGAAGAAGATGAGGTTTGTTTGAAAGTATCTCATGAAGAAGATGAAGATGGGGTACGAAATAACTAATAAGATTAAATATGTTTTTCGTCTCTATAAATAACTTAAATTTGGTTTTACTCCATATAAAAATTTTCTTCAAATAATTGTACTTCTAAACATTTTCATCCACACTTTTGGTCTCTCCTGCTAAAACCGTCGCTATTTTTATCATTGAGTAAAATTTGTTGCTAAAATTGTCGCTAAGTTGTAGGAGTGACCAAAAGTGTGGTAAAAATTAATAGGAGGACCATTATTTGAAGGAAATTTTTTGAGGGACTAAAAGTAAAATATGAAATATTTAAGAGGACGACAAACATATTTAACCCAAATTAATATTAGAAACCTAGCTGGAACATGTGAGACTTGTATCTCGATGAAAAAGAAAGTGAACTATTTGCATGAAACCCTAAGTAAATTTACTAATGAAAAGAAAATTTTGACTTGATTTTATCAAGTCAAAGACCTTCTTTAAATTAAACTAGATTAAGATTTAAGTCTGGTAGAACACATAGTAAATAATTAAATACGAAGAAAGTGAATCGACATGTTTATAAATATTCTCACTGAAACAGATTTGACCATTTAGAGTCGTTTTATTTTGATAAATTGAGAAGGTCTAAAGGTAGTAACACTAGACCTCTTAGAACTATAATGCATTGGGACTTAGGAAAATTTAGGCCCCAAAGGTGAAAACCTAATGTGCTTTGCAGGGATGCTTTACAACTTTAATGAAGCCTTGATGCATATTAAATAAAGTTGTGCAAAGCAAAGTCTATACCTTATAGTATACAACAATTATTATATGTAATGATGCTCGTGATCCAATGATTTTCGTTAATGATGTATATCAATGATCGTGATCGAAGCAAGTGTTCATTGAAGATGGTCTCAAAATCTGTGATTTGTAATGATCAACTAGCCTCCTAGTAGGTTGAGAATATAGGTTTGTATTGGATATATCTATCTCATAATTAACAAACTCTCATATCCAACAATTTATACAGAAGGATGTGCAACATTAGGTTGTCGTTCCCTCGAAAGGGGGAACCTTATCAATATTATTTGATAATCAAGATAGTACATTGTTTAAAGGTTGAATGATCGGAAAATTTTGATTAATCCTTTAAATAAGTGCTTTTATTAATTACTTGTCACCTTAAAAATATTTTTACTAATAAAATAGGTGATTTTTTTTATTGTCAAGAAATTGGTGTAAAGAGAATAACCAAGGTTTAAAAATAATGAGTTTCAAAGAAAAATTCAACCTAAGGCCTAAGGAGTCCAAAAATTTGAAAATGCGTTAAATAATCGATTTGGCTCAAGACCTAATCAATTAAGTAAGTAAAAAACTCAAAATTCGAAATTTTTTTGCACCAAATAATCGATTTTGAGGATGAATTAATTGATTAAAAAAACTTAGAAAACTAACACAATTGCTAGTTCTAACATCTAACTGCATGCATTGAATAATGATGACAGTCTTACATGATTTTTATGAGAAATTCCGGATAAACTCAGAAGAATATTGACCAAAGGAAAAACTAAAGTGCGAAGAAAGAAGCTAAAATTCAAAACAAGGAAGAAATAGGCATTTTGTGAAATTTGTGAAGAAAAATGAAGCAAAATATGTGATTTTGTCACTAGAATTCTCGCGCCTGCGATGCATCCCATCACAGTACGGTGAGGCTTGCATCGCAAAGTAATAATAATTGTTATAGACACGATGGTGATGTTTGAGTTGACATGCTTTTTTCTATTTAAGGGGTTGTTTGGCTACTTTTTCAAGGGTTCTGAACCAAAGAGGGAAAGTGATGACTATGGTATTTCAATAGGCAATTTCGGAGCATATTGGAGTCATTAGAAATCAATTATTCCAGAGATTTTGATGATGAATACTTATCCACTCATTATATTTCTTAATTTATAAATGAGTAACTAAGTTTATCTAGGTTAGGGCTTTTAAAATGAACCTTGTTTTTACTCTGTTGGATCATATGTCTGTTTGATATTTATCGTGTACTTTTAATGTTATTATCTTACTTAATTTATTCTTCTATTTAATGCTTTTTGTCACTTACGGGCGTACGAATCGATCTAGATAATTAGGGAATTCTGACTGTTAGTCTAATTATCTGAACTAAACAATTTATTCAACTTTGTAATGAACTAGGAATAGGAATTTAAAAGTTGTTGCTTATGAACTAACACACTTAGAACTCCTAATTTAAACTTGAATTGGCCTAAGGAATCAAGAAACTACCGTTTAAATTAGTGAGATACGCACCAAGGAATTGGGTGTAGTGGTTTTATTAATTCGTAGTGAGATGATAATATAATTGAAAATCAACAGGTACTCAGTTTATCAACATGTAAAAATAAGAGGATTCGATAATAAAGTCATATTCGCCTTTCACATCTTGAATTACATCCTTTTAATTTCTAGTTTTAGAACCACTTTTCTAACGAAACACCCCCCCCCCCCCCCCCCCATTAATTACTTAATTTTGCACATAATTCTCTTGCTATTAATTTTAGTTTTGATTTTGTTTCTACTTTGTTTTATTTTATTTGGTGCGGTGCTACTAAAGTATTTCTTGTTTGTTTATGCGAGGTACCGACTCGATGTTGATATCGATCGAACCTAAAACTGAAAGATGTGAACATTGCAAAGTGAAAAGAGAAGCACTTCAAATTACAAAAGAAGTAAAATAAGAAAAAGTTGAGATGGTTTCTCCATAATGTTAGACATTGGGGGACTATTGCAGAAGGACCCACTCTGGCCATATTTATTTAGGATTTGAACCGACTAATCTGGTAAACTTTAACATAAAAAATTCTATACTTAGAGGTTTGAAGGAGAACCCGTTGACAGGCAAGTAATCAGAGACCCTTAGGAGCACCTCGGTAAATTCTACGAGACTTGCTCGATAGGGGAGCACTTGAACAAATATTTCACACTTAGAGGTCATAATTGTTTTAAAAAAAACTATCTTTATGAGCCTCACTAAACTTTATAATTGATAAGGGAATACTTGTCCAATAGATAGGAATATCGATAAGTATTGTCCTCATTAAAAATGACCTCGGGTCAGTTGAACTTAAATGAACTTATCGTTCCAATTTTTATAATATGAGGTATAAGGGGAAAGAAGGGCTCTTCCAAGTATCACACTCACAGAAAACCGTTTGCTTTTGTTAACCTCTTTTGTCTCATAAAAGGAAAAAAAGATACATATAGTAGGGGTAATATCGAGACCTCAATAAAGAATTTCAAATGCTCATACAAAAGCCTGGATGTTGGAGTAAAATTGAGAAGGAGTGACGTATAAACCTTTAAAACCTCCACTGAGAAAAATGGTTAATGGTATAGATACACCTAAGTTGACTATTTCCCCCTGTAATAGAAATAAAATTATTCATTGCTCACCTCTTTTGGCCGACACATGCATGTTTTTTTTCACAATCCACTTAGGGTTTTATATCTCGACTTCATTTTCTATGTTGGATACATTTAATCTAGCCCAAAAAGTTTTGACTTGTTCTTTGTTCCTCTAAAGCAAACCAATATTCAACACTTCACCATAAAAAGCGACAATTTCTAAAGTGCTGACTTCCATGAGCAATTTCGCCGATCTTGAAGAAAAATACACTAAATTA